TCGCAACGGGCGCCCCCACCCCAACTGCCTCCATGTCCTGCCCTCAGTAGTTAGGGCAAGATCTTTCTCACATTTAAAATAGTTAGACACTATAAAAACATCAGTTATCTCAGTTGCAATTTACCTAAAGGGTGGGTGGGGTGGGTGGGTAAAAGGGTTGTTCTGTCTGTTATAAATCAGGACAGGTATTCTTTTAAATTAAGCTTTTACAAAAACTAGCGAACCTTTAGTCAAGTCCCATCTGTTTTATCAGTAACAACCCAAGTAGCACCTCCAATGTAACTCAGTAACAAACTAGGGCTTCTCCATTAGTTATAGTTCAGAGACTTTCATTTTACTTCATGCCAGAAGACCATACTAAGGAAGGCCACACAATGATAAATAGAAGTAGAGGAACATATATATGATTGGATTAAATATTCATCAACAGTCCCTGAGTTAATATGAGCTGTTCAGGAGCATGCCCCAAATCATGCAAAGTGATCAGTCTCTGGTTGCTGAGAAACCCCTGGCAGCCTTGTCTGTAGGAGCTGCAGGAGGCCAGGACATGAGCTCGAGCATCGGTGGACCAGCAAAGAGGTGGCTTGTTGGCACGTTGCCTGGCACAGATCTAGCCTGTGCCCACTAGCACATGATCAGCCTCTGCCCCAGCGTTGGGTCAGGCAGGGCACAGCCCAGGGACCCTGCCCGACAGGCTGTGTGGACGAGGCCACCCTGTTTCTGGCAGAAGAGAGGACAGCCGTAGGGCTGACTATTGCATGGTGCTGCTCACCCTGAGGGCCAAAGAATTGGCTCTGGTCTGTTTTATTTACATGTACAGACACAGTCATCAGCTCCAGGGACTTTTTTTGCCCGGACATGATGTTTGGACATAGCAGGAAGTAATTTCTTGAAGACCAAAAGTTGCCTTTCTCACAGGTAGCACTACCCATGTACTCTTGGCCTGTGATGATGGGGTGGGGAGAGGTGCTTGGCAAAGTGATTGCATTGAGCAGTATTTTGCCTTGGCATAATGCAGCACTATGCACAACTTTGAAGGATGCATTTACAGTCTTATTCTTCCTCAGACGAGATGTTGTTAGAGCATCTGCCTTTTCTAAAGAGCTCTAAGAGGAAGTGCCAGCGGTTGGAGAGCATCCTACAGCATGGCAGTCTGTACAACATATGGGAAGCATTTTCTCTTCTCTGTGGCAGATGAGGACTCTGGCTTTTCCCAGAGCCACACGTGGTAGAGGGGAGCAGTGACAACACAGGAAGCTGGAGAGACATGTGCCTTCTCTGTGGCCTAGGAGGAATCCTTTCAAAAGCACAGCCAAGGGTTCACGGGACACGACCACTCATAGTGAGGAATCCGACTTAAAATGGGGCTTCCAGGCACATCCTTGAGCCCACTGCTTGGTACCAGCCTGCTTGGGAATGGGCAAGCCTGGAGGAGCAGGGTGGCCTCACAGAGTCCAAAAAAACCTCTTCCGAGCCTCAGGGGCTGGACGTTTGTGCTGCCACAATGGCTATAAGACTCTTCAGGGACTTGCCCCTTTTCTCCTTCCAGCACCCCTTCAGGGTTTCTGTAGTTCTTCTCTATGCAGGATCCCTTTGGCTTGTGGCTCTTGACGTCCCAGTGTTACAAAATGTCTCTAATGCCTCTACTGCCTCTGTGAAAAGCTTTTTGTTGCTGTTTGTTAGGAAAAACAGAGAGGTGTTCTTTTCTTGTTTCACGTTCTTCTGAAAAGCACTTTACAGAGTGGAATAGGCAGGGAGCTTGGAGAACAGCAGCTTTTTAGGGCCTGTCACACTTTTTACTTTCCAGTAAATTCAGTGAAATAATTTTCCATGTGATTTAAGAAATGTACTAATTTACAGTGCAATTATTTGAAGGTTTTTATTAATTAGCATTGTTGCAAACACTGATATTTAGAGCTGAGGCTAAAGTGTAATTCTGAGACACAGTAGGGGACGTGTAATTGGAGTTGAAGGTCAGGTCACGTATTTGGATTTTCAAAAGAATAAGGGAAGTTCAGCTTCAACAAAGTGTTTATGGATTTGGAATGACAATTACGTTGCTGCTGCAGCTGTATGTTTTGTACTAATTAATATACCTATCGGAGGCTTGTGGCTGGGATCCTGTCACTGCCTCCTGCTGTTTTAGATTGCTGTACATGCTTATATTGACTCCGGCAGGATTACTGCTTGGTTTCCCAAGTGGCAATGAGAGAACAGTCCAGCCAGCAGAACTGTGACTTACACTGGTAGGAAACTCATGAGCCTGAAACCAGGCCAGTGCCTTATGGTGGTAAATACTGGAAATTTAGGCAGGTGCAATCCAGACAGGAATTGAACAAGTGAAATGTTAACTTCATGTGAAGTTTTTGCAGAAACAAAAGTCTCTTTCATTTCTTAACTCTGCACTATCCAGGTTAGGTCCAGTTCTACCAGGTGATTAAAAATGGCAGATGCTACATGATTTGTTGAATCGATACCTGTTCTTTCATATTCAGATAGGAAACGTTTCTGGGAAAAAAATACCACCCCAAACCCTAAAACATAAACACTACACAAATCGGAACTTAAGCAAGATAAATGGTCTTGGTTTGTACATGTTCTGCTGAAGAAGCATTTACAGGGTGTGAAATAAACCACTGAACACTTTTTATTTAAATAAGGAGTCATTCATTGTGAAATCCTACCGTGGCAGACTGAAGGACTCTCCCTTCTCTATTTAAATAGAAACCTTCTCCCCAGCCTATGGAAGGACCTAGGAAAATAGCTCGCAGGAAAGGACCCAGCCGTGCAATTGTTTTGTGCACAGAAGCCCTATTGAAACCAGGAGAAGCTGTGAGCAAAGAACATTTGCAAGGTTATATCCCGAGTACCTAGAAAACAGATTTTTAACAGACATCATCAATAATAATAGTACTATAGTTCTGACTCATGCTCTGAGCAAACAGTTACCGAAGAGTTTAAGATGTTCCCACCCCCCCGGCTGCTTGTTGCCTCTCCGCTCCAGGGAGCGTTGCTTCGGGATCCATGCCCGTGCCTGCCTGCTGCAGCTCAGGGCTGAGCCCACCCTCCTTCAGGGCTGGGGTAGGCGAGGTGCTGGGATGGGTCTGTCTCTCCTGCAGCTGGTATGGCTGTGGTCACTGCACACCCAGCCTAAACCGTCACAGCACGGCCTCACCACAGTGGCCAACACCCCATGCAAAATTTGGGGAAGGTGGGTCAATATTACAGCCCACCTGCTCCAAGCCATGGGACTCATTGCCAAAAAGATGAAGGTGCTCAGTGAGAGAGATGGGACAAACACGTCACAAATAGCTCCAGCAGTAGCTCTTAAGTGTAATGATTAGATGCAACCATGAGCTTAAGGAGTCCCTGAACAACAGCTTGTGGGAAGGCGGGAGGGCGTATGGGGGGGCTTGGCAGTTCCTCCCCTGCTCTCGGTGTGTGTTCCCTAAACATCTGTGGCTGGTCACTGACTGGGACAGGCTGCTGGGAGAGGTGTGCAGGGCTGATGCAGGGTAGCTGGTCTTAAAAGCAAAGCACAAGGGGGTCACTGTGCCCCTGAAATCCAGGGGAGTGGTTATGGGTGTCCCGCGGGCATCACTGGCTCTGGTTCTTGTACAAAGTCTCTGAGGGCAGCATCTGAGGGCAGCTTCTTTTACAGCAGATCCACTGTGTCTTACTCTCTTAGAAACGTTTTTCCCTTTCCTTTCAGGCACCCAACGGCCTCCCAGCTGTCAGCAGTTTCGTGTCAGCGCCAGCCATGCCTCCCTACGCCACACCAGCCCAAGTGTCACCTTACATGACGTACAGTGCCGCCCCATCAGGCTACATGGCCAGCCACGGCTGGCAGCATGCTGGAGGCACCCCGCTGTCCCCTCACAGCTGCGACATCCCCGCCTCGCTGGCGTTCAAGGGCATGCAGACGGCCAGGGAGGGCAGCCACTCGGTCACGGCCTCCGCGCTCTGATGCAGGAGCCGGTCCAGGACCACCACGAGCCCGCTGGCTGGTCATCCCCTGAGCCTGGCTCACGGACTGCTCTCTTCATGCCGGTGATATCTGGCATTTCTCCTCGTGACTTGTCTCCCGTAAGGCTTTTGGGATTGAAAGAGCTGAAGACAACATCAGAAACTGAGAGAAGTGTGGTGTTGCACTCTTTAAGTAAAGACCTTGCGTCCCTCAAAGGGCTTGTGGAGCCTTGTCCCACTCTCTCCTGGTCAAACCACACATATTTATTCTTAATCATCACAGTCTTTCTAAATGTGCAATTGTTATTAAGATTTGTGTAAAAATCAATAAAGAAAAATCACCACAGAAAATTCTGCTATGCCTCAAATCAGCAAAGGCGGCTAAATGGGAGGTGTTTGCCGATTGCCTAGAGAACACCACTTTCATCGGCGAGGTTGTACAATCCACCGCTACCAAGAGATCACTTTTTGGTTCTTTTGTTGGGTTTTGGTAATCAAATATAGAACCAAGGCAATAGGTGGCTCTCAGATTCTTCTGGCATGTCGCCATCGTCAGGCAGTAGTAATACCTTTGTGTTTTTATCCATTTGTAAATATAGGCTTTTGACAGCATTTGTTTTCACCTTCCAGTACATTTATTTCTACTTTTTTTTTTTTTTTTTGAAGTTAAAAAGGTGACTTTAGCTATTTTCTGTGTCTTTGCGTGGTGGGGTGATAGCCTCGTGATGAGCTTTAGGTAAGTTTTTTTTTCATCATGTTTTTGTGCCTACAGTGGAGGCTTCAACATCTCATGAAATACAGTTATCTCTTTAGCAGAAAATTCAAAGGCAGAAATCCAGCCAAGTAACTCTCCCCAGCTATACCCAGACTCCCAGATTCATTAAACACCACATCCATGTTAAGTATACAAATAGAAATGGATGGAAAATATCTGAACAAAACTGAAAACTGTAGAGGAAAATGCCGTTAGTGTGCAACCTGTGCAGAGATGCTTACAAAGCCGTGTCAGTCAACAAACCCACTGAGAAACAGAATTGTACCATCATTGTCGGCTCACTTGTGTCCAGCATTTTCGGCCCCAAGATTATGTTGTAATTTTTTTAAGACAAAGTTGTCTTTAATTTCTGCTTTAATGAATGTAAAATATGGCTCTTGGTAAAGTTTACATTGGTGTTCTGAAGCATTTTTTTCCCTTATAGGTGTACTGGTGGTGGTGCTACAAACACAGATATTATTTAATATTAACAAATTCCCTTTCTACATTTCTGTATCCAGTGGCAAGTACTCTGTGCCAGTTATTTTGCTTTAAACTTTAATCCCAAGAGAGCTAACGTTCTGATCTTTGAAAATTTACCTGTTTTCCTCGGGCAATAATAAAGTTCTGACTGTTATTCCAGAATGCTTTCCACATGCTGTAGGTATGTTCAGAATATGAACATGGAAAAAAAAAATTAAGCCTGGTGTGACATTTCATATCCTTCATAGAATATTAATATATTGTGTATTTTTATAAATGTTGTGCAATAACTTAAATGACACTAGAGATAGGTAAAACAGAGGAGAAAACTTCATTCTTCAAATTTTGCTCTATCTGCATACCATATTAAACATTCATTCAGTGGGAAGGTAAAATACGGTCCCCTCTTAAAAGACAGTCCTCTCTTTGTGGATTTCCAGCTTTCATCACGGAGACAGCTGTGGGTAAATTTTCATAATAATCTATAACCAATACATATGTTATGTACAGTATATCCACTGAAATATAGATGGACTCAACGGGCTGCTGCCACCTTTGCTTTTTGCATTAAAAAATAGTTAGCAGAACTGTATTTCTATAAAGAACACAGGTATTGTGTTATGGCCCTAAGGAAAGAAAGATCTGACCTCTGATGCGATCCCGTATTCTTCAGCCTCAAAGGCATTCGACAGCTGTTTAGCTTTAATGAGATGCCTAAACCCTTGTTACTCAGTAGAACGCTTTTTAAAGAATGTTTCTTTGAAACCACTAAAGCTAACGTGCACACAGTGGATTTCCACTCTGCCACACTGTTAGTGACGTGACGGACATTATTCTGCCTTTATGCAGTTGTAGCTGAAATAAGACAAGCCTTAACACCATGAAAAAGAAATCAGTTCAATTCTAGACACTTCTTCACTAAAAATAAAATGGAGAAAAAAAAAGATAAGAAAGAGATCATGAGTCAATAAATGATTAAGCTGGCAACAGGACTTTAGCTTTCAACCTAGTTATTTTACTGGATTATAGAATTATTGAGTAAGTCTACTTATTATTACCCATACAGCACAAACAAGGTACATCAAAGGAAGAAAAAACCTGAAAAAAAAGAAGAGAAGCCTTCTGTAGCACAGCTTTTTGAGCTCCAGGAATTCACAAGCCTGTAACAAAGTGTGCCTATGTTGAAAGTTTTCAAAATTTGCCCAAGCAACAAGAGGTTGTTTCTGGAATAAAAGTCGTCTTTTCTGAGATTCCCATGCGGCATTAGTGTGTTTTGGGAGATACTTAGAGAGACAGATCCTTAGCTTGTATCAGTTGTTTGCATTATCTTGTCTTCAGGCAAATCGGGATAATTTATAAAGCAAGGACAAGGCATGATGTTAATTATTCCTCACGTGGGAATACACCATCATGAACCATTTTTGTTTTATGTTTGTTCAGGTACGGCTCTTTGCTCATCTGCCTGCTGTATATAATACCTTACCCCGAGTGGAGTCAGTGGGGCTGTGTGCAGAAAGTGTTGCTCAGAGTGAGCAAAGGTACCTGACCTTGGCCCTTGGTGAACTGCCTGTGATGGATTTTTTTTTTGGTGTGAGTTTTCATAACTTTTTTTTTTTTTAAATGTAAACCTACAATGCAGAATACTCCTTTGCCCAAGGACTTTTTTTCCTGCTTATACTCATGGGTAAACTGAAAACCACACCATGCTAGCTTATTAGCCACACAACTTTAAGCCACTTTACAATAAATAAAGGGGAAAAAGGGAATTGGTTTTTCTTTTTTAAATAATAAACAAGGGTCAACTGCTGCTGTCAGGTCCAGGGGTATAAATCTGGAGTGAACCCACTGAGGTGAATGGATTAATTTGGGAAATATGCAGTACATGTGAGTGCAGAATTTAAGTTTTTAATCTGAAAAGCCTACACTCCATTCCCAGAGTGTCAAATGTTTTCAGAGAAATCGGTGAAGGCTAATACTCCCTTCGATGACAGCCCCATGTGTTTGCATGGTCCCGGTACAGAAGACCTCCAGTGTAAAACTGAATCAGACCCCATATTACACCAGGAGTGATGGGGGATTGGGCTGGCACGTTCATGGGTTTGTTTTCTAAAGCAGTGCTGTGTTTTCTGCTTTCTGATGGTTCTCTTTTTATCAAAGATCAGGCTGAGCTATTAACTGAAAAAAAATCATGTTGGAAAGGATGTAAAACCGAAGGCTATATATGTATATACAGTATGTTTAAAGCCTTTTATTTTTATATTTTGAATGCTCTAAATTAATAAAAGACTAATTATAAAACATTTTGCTTTTAATTTTCAAAATTATATTAGTAGTGTCTTCTCTTTGGCTAAGTACCGATAATGAAATGCAACAACGAGGAACATTTGCCTTAAAATTATAAACTGTAACAGAGCTAATTTTATTGATTTTAGCTATGAAGTAGCATAGGTATGAGAAGCCGCTGCTGTCAAATTCAGACAAAAGAGAGGTTTATTGAGCATGTCAGTACAAGCATCCTTGAAAGCGCTGAGAATGCATTTCTATTTTTAGCTTTTTGTTGCTTTTCTAATGCATTAAAAACACTCATGAGATGAGACTTCACATGTGAACTGTCATTTTCAAGTAACAATCTGTAAAGATACTTCTTTAGGATTGCTGGGAAAAAGGTTTGTACCTCCTTACAAGGAAGAACATTTAAAGTTAACAGTGTGAATGCAGTATGGGGTGATACAGAAACTTTCAGCAATTGCAAGGATATGCATTCATTTGACAACAAACCAAGTTTAGATAATGGGAACATTTTTATAACAGAATAATGTGTAATTTTAAGTTATTTAAAGCGTTCTTGAAACTGTAGAGTGGCACAACTGGATGAACTGAAACTATGTCTTCAATTAGCATAGCAGAAATTATTTCACAGAGCTAGTTAGCATGGCTAGTAAAGACAGGAGTACATCACTGAAATATTATTTATATTTACAGTGACTGGGAAAAGCAACAATTTTAGCTTTAGAGCGATGTTTTTTATCTATAGAAAGGTGCATTTCTTTGAGGTGTATGGCTAGCTAATTACGACTGCATATGTGCTATCAGTCTAGAACATGGTTTCTCCATCCCACGGTGGTAATGAAAGGCTAAAGGGGCAGTCAAGGTGCATTGAGCATTTTTATCACAGGACAGCTCTTTAAGCAATAGTATATGAAGGTGGATAAAAAATTCACAGTAAAATCTCATATGCCTAAAAAAATTTTTTCTGTTCATTTATTTACTCATTTCTTCTATGATTCCCACAGCTGTTTTGCACTTTTATGTAACTTGACTGAGACTAATTATTTTCAGTGTCTTCTGTGACCTGAGTGAGATTTATACAATATTTATGGCTAAGAACAAGTAGGACATTTAACTGTGGGTCCTTTTTCTATCCTAACTCCCAACAACTTAAGAAGCTCTTCTACCAGTGTTGAAATTGTACTGGACTGAATTGAAACTGGACCCAAGATTGACGCAAGAGTTTGCAGAGTATGGGTCATGTTCCTAACCTGGAGTCAATGGAGCTGTCAGTTTACACTAGCTTAGTACCTGGCTCCACAGGATTATTCCTTTTTTTCCTTCAAAAATCCCCTGAAAGTTATTATCTTGCCATTTCAGCTGAAATTTTAAAAAAAGTCTATTGACTACACAGTATAATTCAATGTCCAGAATTTTCAGTTTGTCCTTGAAAAACTAACTTGTTTCTATGTCTCCTTTATATTTTCTCTTGATCC